CTCTGCGTAGTCATTTGGTGGCTCAAGATTCCGACCTTTCCAGGAGTTTCACAAACCAAGACCCGCCAAGGCTCCGAGTATCGAGGATGTCTTTGCCGAGCTTCTTCGACGTGGATGAGATGCCCGAGATGGGCGCGCAGCTACCGCTCGAGGCACCCAAGGAGAGCGAGAAGCGCGAGGACCCCGAGAAGGAGGAGAAGCCGCTCCAGGACTCCAAGGGGAGCGGGAACGAGAGACCGCTCGAGGACGTCAAGAGCCAGAAGCGCACCAGAGAGCTGGAGGAGATCCCGAGCAGCAGCGACAACGAGGAGAAGCGAGCCTGCCAGAAAGCCAAGCGCCGCCAGTCCGCACCGCAGCCAGAGGGCGAGGAGCCCGAGGACGACGAGCCCGAGGGCGGCAGCGGCAGGCGCCCGAAGCTTGAGCCCGAGCCTGTTGTAGAGGCGCTCTCCGAGCGGCTCCAGCGCAAGTGGGCGCTCGAGGGTGCGCCCTAGCCCCGGTAGGTTTTTCGACAAAGCGCTGGCGCCGAGAAGACACATTCAAGCGATGTTTCGATCGAGCGCCTGAGGATCTCAAGTCTCGAGCGAAGCGAGCGTGTCCTGGAGGATGTTTCCAGCGAGATCAGCAGAGGTTGAAACGAGAGATCTGTCGAGGATGCCCCAAGCGAAACAAACGACGTTTTCAAGGATGTCTTAAGCGAAACGAGAGATTCGTCGAGGATGCCTCAAGCGAAACGAGCAATGATTCCAAGGATGTCTCAATCGAAATAAGCAATGCTGTGAAGATGTCTCAAGCGAAAGAGACAAATATTTCGAGGATGTCTCAAGCGGAACAATCAATTCGTTGAGGATGTCTCAACCGAAACAACTCATTGTTGAGGATGTATCATACAGGACCAAAGACCAATGTTCCTAAATATATCTTTGGCTTTTTCCTCTTGATATCTCTTTATGCTGGCTCTGGCGGGCAACTTTTATTATCTCCCCGAAACCCCGAACTTTATTATCTCTGGGGGTTTATTCTCGTGGGTTCATGGTTAGATACCCCCCCTGGGAGCTCCAAGAGGCTTCAGGAAACCTCAGGTGGAGTTCAGGAGGCCACAGGAGGCCCAGGAGGAAGCTCCAGGAGGTCCCCAGGAGGCCCCAGGAGTCACCAGGAGGCCGCAGGACGCCCGGGACAGGCCCCAGGGGTCTCCAGGAGATTCCCAGGAGGCTCCCAGGAAACCCCAGGAGGCCGCCTATCAGAACGTGTCAAGTTTATACGCATCCGGTGTCGATTCGTTGATTATTCCTGCTCTTGTGCCCCCCCCCTCCATTTGGAGAGGCCCAACCCCCATGTGGAAAGGCCCAGACGGCCTCAGGTTAGATATCCCCCCTGGGAGCCCCAAGAGGCTTCAGGAAACCCCAGGTGGGGTCCAGGAGGCAACAGGAGGCCCAGGAGGAAACCCCAGGAGGTCACCAGGAGGTCCCAGGAGGCCCCAGGAGGCCCCCGCAACTCGGAGCTCTGAGACGCCGCGCTCGGGGTGGCCCGTTTCGCCTGAGACTTCCTCGCACCACGTTTCGCCAGAGACATCGTCGCAACTCTGGGGTCCAAGATGCCGCGCGCGAGGTGGTCCAGCCCGTTACGCTGGAGACATCCTCGCAACTCTAGGCTCCGAGATGCTGTTCGGGATGAAGGAGGTGGAGGAGGAGGAGGAGGAGGAAGAGGAGGAGGAGGAGGAGGAGGAAATGGAAGGGAGAAGGAGGAGGCGGATGATGTGCATGAGGGAGCAGGCAGGAGGAGGGGGAGGCCCCAGAGAACTCCAGGAGGCCGCAGGACGCCCAGGACAGGCCCCAGGGGTCTCCAGGAGATTCCCAGGAGGCCCCCAGGAAGCCCCAGGAGGTCGCCTATCAGAACGTGTCAAGTTAATACGCATCCGGTGTCGATTCGTTGATTCTTCCTGCTCTTGTGCCCCCCCCCTCCATTTGGAGAGGCCCAAACGGCCGCAGGTTTGATATCCCCCCTGGGAGCCCCAAAAGGCTTCACGAAACCCCAGGTGGGGTTCAGGAGGCCACAGGGGGCCCAGGAGGAAGCCCCAGGAGGTCCCCAGGAGGCCGCAGGATGCGCCAGGCCCCCGCAACTCGGAGCTCTGAGACGCCGCGCTCGAGATGGTCCGGCCCGTTTCGCTTGAGAGTTCCTCGCATCAGCGCGTCAGGCGCTCAGGCAGCGCGCGTGCCCGGCTCCGACGACGAGTTGGTTGCCGGGAAAGCAGAAGAAAGCTGACCACCCCCGCTTCTCTTGGAATTTCGACACCTCCGGCCGCAGATTCTTTCTGTGCAGCGTGCCCCAGGAGGCCCCAGGAGGCCCCGGGAGGCCCCAGCAGGCTCCAGGACGCTTCAGGAAGATCTAGGAGCCCCAAGGAGGCCCCAGGAAGATGCAGGAGGAGGAGAGAAGGAGGAAGGAAAAGGAGAAGGAGAAGGAGGAGGAGGAGGAGGAGGAGGAGGAGGAGGAGGAGGAGGAGGAGGAGGAGGAGAGGAGGAGGAGGAGGAGGAGGAGAGGAGGAGGAGGAGGAGGAGGGAGGAGGGGAGGAGGAGGAGGAGGAGGAGGAGGAGGAAGGAGGAGGAGGAGGAGGAGGAGAGGAGGAGGAGGAGAGGAGGAGGAGGAGAGGAGGAGGAGGAGGAGGATAAGCGGAGGAGAAGAAACGAGAGAAGGAGCAGCAGGAAAAAGAGGAGGAGTAAGATGAGGAGGAAACAGGAGGAGGAAAAGGAGGAAGGAGGAGAGGAGGAGGAGGAGGAGGAGGAGGAGGAGGAGTAGGAGGAGGAGGAGGAGGAGGAGAGGGGAGGAGGAGGAGGAGGAGGAGGAGGAGGAGGGGAGGAGGAGGAGGAGGAAGGAGGAGGAGGAGGAGGAGGAGGAGGAGGAGGAGGAGGAGGAGGAGGAGGGGAGGCGGAGGAGGAGGAAGAGGAGGAGGAGGAGGAGGAGGAGGGAGGAGGAGGAGGAGGAGGAGGGAGGAGGAGGAGGAGGAGAGGAGGAGGAGGAGGAGGAGGGAGGAAGGAGGAGGAGGAGGAGGAAGGAGGAGGAGGAGGAGGAGGAGGAGGAGGAGGAGGAGGAGGAGGAGGAGGAGGTTGGAGAGGAGGAGGAGGAGGAAATGAACGATATGGAGAGGAGGAGGAGGAGGAGAAGGAGGAGGAGCAGCAGCAGCAGCAGCAGCAGCAATCAGCAGCAGGCAGGAGGAGGCAGAGGAGGCAGGAGGCAGGAGGCAGGAGAAGCCACGGGGAGGAGTAGGATGAGGAGGCGGAAATAGGCGAAGGCAGGATAATGAGGCAAGAGGAAATGGAGGAGGCAGGAGGGTGCAGGAGGATGGAGCAAGAGGATATCCTCAGGCAAGCTGAACATATTCATATGTGGGGTCTTTCCACACGCACACACAGAGCCACGCCTGAACGGCGCATCGCCAGGAAAATTGGGCACGTGAAACACATGTGCATTATAATGGGGTTCGCGCAGACGCTCCCCTGCAGTGCTTCGGAAGCGTACGCTGGAATTCTTTGCCCCAGCGAAGCGCGAGGGTATGCTACGGTGCGCCGGAGGAGGAGGAGGAGGAGGAGGGGGAGGAGGAGGAGGAGGAGGAGGAGGAGGAGGAGGAGGAGGAGGAGGAGGAGGAGGAGGAGGACGGGAGGATAGATGAGGATGATGATGATGATGATGATGATTGATGATGAGGAGGAGAGGAGGAGGAGGAGGAGGAGGAGGAGGAGGAGGAGGAGGAGGAGGAGGAGGAGGAGGAGGAGGAAGGGGGGGCTGAGTGATACAAACATGCCCCAGATTCGTATCATCTGGGCCCTGGATTCGTATCACTACGAAAAGCAGTAGTCTACAACAGCTGCGTTCCATTGCCCCCGCGCCCCACGCAGTAGAGCTTGCAATATGTCGGGGTCGTTTCCTGCCACAGCCAGGGCTTGAGCGTGCATGTAGGCGTTCCACTGTAAACGAGGGCGCCCTCTGAGGCGCGGCGTGCCCCAGTCCCTGGGCAGAATACGGTGGTCTTGTCCAGCTTGAAACACCATCGCTCTGGGCAGGCTGCCGGGCGGTCCCCTTGCCAGCTTGCCCTAAAAATTTACTTGGCGCTGTAATAAGCCAACTGGTAACGGGCATGCTTCCGCTGCCGCCCGCACATCAGCGTTGCTGACGCGAGACAGGAAAGCTGGCGCTATTTTGAATTTTTTTCGCAAGCATTTTGCCTGGAAGCTGTCAAGTCGATCCCGGTCCGCCTTCAGTAACGTGCAATATTCTAGCCCATATAACAATTTAATGTTCACGCAAGCTTGCAGCGCCCGCAATTTGCGCCGTCGGCTCATATTCGCATGGCTCCACACTGTGCATCGTTTGTGGAATGCTCCGCTCGCTTCCCCGAGGCGCCGTGTGAACTCAGTTCCAGCTCTCCCATCTGCACTTAATAATGCGCCCAGGTAAACTGCATGTTCTTCGCATTTGATTGCCTCGCCGTTTGGCCCAAGCAAAGTGTCGTTTGGTTCGCACTCTCAATAAACTTATTTTCCCGGCATTCAGATCCCGGATCCGTATTTCGATCCTAGCCCAGTGTGCACTATGGTCGAGGTCATATTGCGAAGTGGGTTGTTTGCCTTTCTGTACTTCCGATCAGACGCGATCATGCTCGCACAGTTGGAGCAAAAGGGGCATGCACAGCCAAGCAGGCCGCAGATGCTTTCTCCCTGGATGGAAACGCAACAGCCTTGCTGCAACGAGGGCGGGAACGAAGTTGTGCGATCGAGCCGTGACCTCTGGCCCGCACACGCGAAAGCTTGGCACCTGTCCCCATTCTGCTAGACGCCTTTCCAGACAGAGAAAATGGCAATGTTCACATTCAGCTGGCGCGGAATCAGACTTTCGACATCAACGAGGAAGCCAGCCTATCTTTTAAGGTCACTTATAAAATCGATGGACAAAGTGAGCCATATACAGAACAGTGTAAGAAAGAGGGTGGTCTTCAAGTGGATCATCCCGGGATGGCGTTTTTCCTTACTTGTCCTGTACCACCACATGTATCGGGAGTGTTGAGCAGCGGCAGTGCGATCGAAGCCGTGCTGCACAAAAGAAGCCAGCCACATGACGGTGACACATGGGTGCCCCCGAGGCTTTCACATCATACCGCGGAATATCCACCAATCCGTGTTTGGCAAAAACATCCAGGTCACAAGAGGTCACAACAACCGTTTCTCACTGCTTGCACAATCGCACGCGCTGATGAAACAGCAAGTGTAAAAAAATTGACATCATGTATGCACTTGGTGGGTGTGGATCATGTTTTTGTCTATATGGTAGAGCGAGAAGAGAGCTCGTACGATGCACACTTTTCAGACTTGGGTTCGGCGCGATTCATCACGCTTGTTCCTTGGCCGTTCTCGCCTGGCGGTTACAATGCACGTTTGAGTCAGGTGGGTGCTTGCGATAACTGCATGTGGAGGCAAAAACGTCGGGCAACATGGACACTACAAGCCCAACATGATGAGTGCATCCAGCCCCTTGGAACAGACCGCAATCTCAAAGAGCTTTTACATAATCATGGTAATCATAGCTGTGTAACTGCTTTGGAAACTGGGTGGTTCAAGCTGTCATCAATTGGTCTTCGGACAGGTCCAAATGGACTTGAAGCGGTCGAGACACCTGAAGCAAGAAGACTATATAGCGACGAAGGACCAGCGGATGGCCTGAATGTTCTCTCGGAGGAGTTTTCATATCGAGCAGCAGCGCCTTTCGGAGTGCAAGTGTGCGAGGGTGGGGCTGCCTCTAACACCTGCGCAGCTTTCAGAGCAGGAAACAACTTCATGCATTTCTTCGCCAGGCCCGACGATGTCGTCCAGACTGGTGTGCATGCAGTTGTAGAGTTTGTAAAGGATTCTGTTGTACGTGGCTATTTTGATCCATTCAACGAAGCCCGCATCAATCATTTTTCTGAGTACGCGGGAGACAGGTACAAGCACGAAATCAACGTAGAAATAGATTGCCAAGGCGGGCGTGAGAATGTGCCCCAATCGCGGGCAGCGTTTCTGAAAGACTCGTCGATGTTTGTCATGAGGACTTGTGTTGAGATGTTGTGGAGCTATGGGCATCTCACGCCAGAGGTTGAGGCATGCGTGAGCAGGAATTGGCAGAGGTCAAAGACCGACCGTATTGTCATGTATAGAAATGTGTCCGGCGATTCATTGTTTGAGCGCGGTGCCTCAGTTGTTTGCGAGTCGTTTCAATTTGAGTGAGCGGCCAGGGTCTTTCCTTGTCTTCGGTTTCCGCAGCAGACTTCGTACGACAAAACCACAGCTGCCGTGCCAGATTCTGCGCGGCCATGTCGCAGCGGGTTTTCCCCGATCAGGTTTGCCTACGGGGTTTTTACTTGGTTAAAGGTTGGTGCCTCCAATTGTAACTTTACCCGTTGCTCGGAGGTTCCTCGGGTTCCCCGCCTGCAGTGCCTCCTATTCTTACGTTGTCCGTTTCCTGGAGGTTCTTCGGGCTCCCCTGGTTCCTCGGGTTCCCCACCCCCGGTGCCTCTTGTTGTTGCGTTGCCCGTTCCTCGCAGGTTCCTCGGGTTCAGGTTCCTCGGGTGCCCCGGGCTCCGCGGGTTCACAGCCCCCGGTTGCACCAAGCAGTGCCAAGCAATGCCAAGCCAGCCATTTTAAAGCAATGCCAAACAATGCCTTCCCATGCCAAGCAATGCCTTCCCATGCCAAGCAATGCCAAGCAATGAAAGCAATGCCAAGCGATGCCAAGCATTGCCAACCCCTGCCAAGCGACGCCAAGCGACGCCAAGCGATGCGCCCAGCGATGCGCCCATGCGATGGGCCTTCCCCTAATTGGAGCCGCGCCGGGCTGCCCGTGCACGCGTGCCGGGGGACCGGGCCCGGGGGGCCAGGGACGGAGCCCCTACCGCAAGTGTGTGCCGGGCGCTGGGCGCGCCTTCGAGGGGCTCCAAATCGCCCCGGGGAGCTCTCAGACAGCCGTCCTGGCGGCCCCCGACGGCCCCGGCACACCCCCAAGTCGCTCTCCAGGGGTTTCTGGCGGCCCACGATACGTCTTCGACTGCCGAAGAGGCCCCCAAGGCGCCGCAAGAAGGCTCCAAGAGAACCCCTGAGAGAGCCCCCAGAGCCCAAATTCATTCATTGCCCATCGGTTTTGCATGATTTTGGCCTTCTCGCCTTTTCGGCTTTCTGACGCTCCAAGACAGCCCAAGAGTTCCCCAAGACCGCCCCAAGACGGCCCACGAAGCCCCAAAGAGGACCCCAAGACGGCCCAGGAGGGCCCCTAAACGGCCCAGAGGCATCCAAGACGGCCCAGGAGGGCCCCCAAACAGCCCCAAGAATTGCCCAAGAGGAGACGCCCGAATCATACATTCCAGCTTTCCTCCTCAACAGACCCCCAGGTGGGCCCAAGAGGACCCCAAGAGACCCCTCAGAGGCGCTCCAGAGACCCCCAGGAGGCCCTGAACACACACACAAGAAAGCTTTAAGAGGATCCCCAAGAGTCCCGAGAGCCCAAATTCATTGATTTGCCATTTTGAATTCTATTTGTCTTCTTGCCTGTTTGGTTTTTCGTGCGGTGCGTGCGCGCGCGCGTGCGTGCGTGTGTGTGTGTGTGTGTGTGCGTGTGTGTGTGTGTGTGTGTGTGTGTGTGTGTGTGTGTTTGTGTGTGTTTGTGTGTGTGGGTGGGTGGGTGCGTGCGTGCGGGCGGGCGTGGGCGTGTGCGTGTGCGTGTGCGTGTGCGTGTGCGTGTGCGTGTGCGTGTGCGTCTCTGTGAGTGTGTGTGTGTGTGGGTGTGGGTGTGCGTTTGCGTGTGCGTGTGCGTGTACGTGTGCGTCTGCGTCTGCGTCTGCGTGTGCGTGTGCGTGTGCGTATTCGTGCAAGCGTGCGCGTGTGTGTGTGTGTGTGTGTGTGTGTGTGTGTGTGTGCGGTGCGTGTGTGTGTGTGTGTGTGTGTGTGTGTGTGTGTGTGTGTGTGTGTGTGCGTGCGTGCGTGCGTGTGTGTGTGTGTCTCAATGTAAATGTGAATGTGAATGTGAATGCGCATGTGAATGTGAATGTGAATGTGTGCGTGTGTGAAAAAGGGGATAACGACGAGCACTGCGCTGGGGCAGAGGTGCAATAATGAAGGGAGGTCAGGGATCCCGACGCGCTTCGCGCCTGTCTGGCCCGCTTCGCGCCTGTCTGGCCCCTGACGCCAGATCAAGCCACCGCAGACGACGAAAGCTTGCGCAGTGCTGGGACAAGACCTGCGCGCTGCCCTGGCAGTCGGCCCCAGTGGGCGGACCACGAGGACGCGGCCGACCACCTGGCAAGCGATGCGTCTCCTACATATTCACTTCGAGACCGTGTTCGCCAGTCGCCACCCGGTGAAATCGTGGAGACGCAACACCAAGCGGCAGAGCCGGGCACCTGCCCGCCAGCTGGCGGCGCGAGCTCGGACGGGCGCACGATCCCCGAGCTCGACAGGCCGAGCGGCCAGGCTTCGTCCTCCTGGTGACCCTCCTGGGATAGTTCGGACGGCAGAATGGCAGTCGTCGCTTTGGGCGGCAGGGGCAGTGGCGCACGATGGACGCGCGCCTCCCGCCGATCCCCCCACCAATCATGGCCCGCGTGCCCGCTGTGGAAACATCGTCTGGAGACAGACCTTGCGTCGCCCGGCTACTGCAAGGAGACCTCTGGAGGATGGTCAAGGAGGCGTGGGCTGCCTCCCCGTGGATTCGTGAACACTGGGGCCACTTCACCTGGGATCAGAGAACACGAGGGCCAGGGCGGGCTCGCCCAGAAGTGGTCCCCAGACAGGTCGTGATCGACTTCCTGCGCACCCTGCCAGCGCACGGGCGGCAACTGGCACGGGCAACCCGCCATTCTCGACTGGCCCGATTCCCAAGCGCAAAGCAGTCGACGACGCCAACTCAGCCGGAGACCCGCCAATCATGACCCACGCGCCCGCCGCGGAGGCACCGTCTGAGGACAGACCTCGCATCGCCAGGCTATGGCAAAGTGACATTTGGCGGACGCTCAAAGAGGCGTGGGCTGACTCCTCGTGGACTCGTGAGCAATGTGATCGCTTCGAGAGGTTGTGATCGATTGCCTGCGCTCCCCGCTAGTCTCGAGTGGCCCGATTGGCCAGCGCAAAGCAGTCGACGACTGCGACTCGGCCAGACACCGGGCTCGCCCAGAGGGCGCCTCCGAGAAGCAGCTCGGGGCCCACATCAAGCGGCAGTGGGGCCAGAAAATGACGCGAGATTGTGAGTAGGGCATCGCGAAGCAGTCGCCTATTCCGGTCGGTCATGCACTGGTGGCCCACCGTTTTGTCCCCGCATTTGCCCTGCCACGCACCGATCAGTCGCGCTGCTCGCGCGCCGATCTGTCGCTTCAGGGGCTTCGCTCCTTCCCGCTCTGGCCTGGCGGCGTTTCACTCACCCGTGCCTCCGCCACTCCTGGCCTTCGGTCCCGCGGCGCTTTTGTGTGTTTGTTTTTGATTGGGTATTGTTATTTGGCTTGGTGTAGTTTGTTGATTTGTTTTGTTTGGTTTTGTTTTTTTTATTGGTTTGTTTTTTTGGTTTGTGTGTCTTTTTGTTTTCTTTTTTTATCATGTTTTACTTCTTGTTTTTTGTTTGTTTTGTTTTTTTTCTTTCTAATTGTGTTCTTATTTTTTCCGTTGGGATTGTTTTTTTTTATTTTTTTGTTTTATCCGTTTTTTTTCTTGTTGTTAGTCTTTTTATTTGTATAAGTTTTTTTTGTTCTTGTGTTTTCTGTCTGGGCGGCGCGGCGTTCCCGCCGCCCCCGGCGGCGCCCCCTTCCGCGGTGGTTCGTCGGTCCCCGCCTCCGCTTCGTGGGTCGCGGGGCTCGCTCGATCGTCGCCGTCTCGGTGGTGGGCTCGGGCCGCGTCGCGGGGCCCCCCGCCGTCGTCTATCCGGGCGACCATCCCGCCTCTGCCCCTGCTTGCTCTGTTCCCCCCTCTCCCCTTCCGCCCCCGCCGCGGGAGGGTGAGCCCCCTCTGCGCGCGCGCCTGGCGGTCGTGGCTGGCGTGGTTCCTCTTCCACGGGGCGTCCTATGTCGAGTTGGTGGCGGCCTTGACGTCGGTGCGTATAGCGCACCTCGCGCTATCACCTGTGCTGCTCGATCTACGGTCGGTATTCAGTTTATTGCTGCGCCGGTACCCTACCAATCATTTTGGTCGGCGTTGTTGCAGCTCTTTTTTCGACCGACCAAGGGTGCGCCCTTGACGCTGACCTCTTTTGGTGCCGCGGCTGCCCGCCAAGGATTTTTCGGCGCGGCTTCACTCGGCCGGTTTCGGCTTTGCGCGTGCATTTTTCCACGTGCGCTGCGCGCCCCGACACCACCCAACCTTGCTGGTTTTCGTTCCAGGGGTTATGTTCTGTATATTGCGTTGCCGGTCCGTTGGTTAGCACCTTACCTATCTGTCTCGCATGGCCTCAGTTGATCTGGGCGCATTACCCCACCCATATGCTGGTCTGGCAGCAATTGCAACCTCTTCTGCGCCTCACTGCCTAACGCCGTCGCGGCTGCGATCCAGCGGCCGCCAATTAGCGTTAGTCAGCGTGCACTTTCATTTCACTTTGAGTTGAGTCTCCTCCTCAGTTTTGCTTCCCGCTGCACGTGTGCGTTTCGGATTCTTGCCCCTCTAATTCGCTCGCCACTTATCGCTTGCTGTATGTCCGTCTGTCTGTTTATCTGTCTGTCTGTGTATCTGTTTATGCGTGTGTGTGTGTGTGTGTGTGTGTGCGTGCGTGCGTGCGCGTGCGTTCTCGCTCGCGCGTCCGCGGGCGCGCGCGGCCCCGCGTCTGTCTGCGCCGCTGGGGCGTGGCTAGAAGAGGCGGCGCGGCTGGGGTGATGCAGGTGCACAACAGCAGATGCTTGCGTGATCGCGGTGCGCGCGCGTGCGTGTGCGCGTGCGTGCGTGCGTGCGTGCGTGTGTGTGTGTGTGTGTGTGTGTGTGCGTGCGCGCGCGTGGCTTTGGGGCGCGATGAAAAGGGGGCATTCGCAGCGGCGCCTTGCGCGCAATGCGCGCGACGGGTGGATGCGCAACTGCCCCGTGCTTGCGCGCGCTTGCGCGCGCGGGCGCATGAGTGCTCGCGCGCTCGCGCGTCTATCCTCGCGCGCGCATGCGACGTGGCGGTCTAGCTGCAGCTGGGCGCGCAGGTGTCCGCGCTGTTGCCCGGCTGCAGCTGGGCCACCGGAGGGCGTCCAGGCGGTCGACGAAGGCGACGGCTTCGGGGG